GATGCATTTACTTCTCTGTCATACTGTGGATGCTCCAAAATTCTGCTCAATTTTTTGCTACTCTCTCCTGTCCTATCCTGTCCTCTTCTATGAGTGTGCAATGTTAATGTGTAAATGTTAGTGTATGTGCACAGCCACTCTGTTCTAGCTAATACCTGCCCTGCTTTCAGCTCCACTGTGGACAATGTATCTTCTATGTGTATTTTGTTATTTATTCATGTGCATGTGTGTGTGTGTGTACAAATCAAATCAAATGTTATTTGTTACATTCTTCTTAGTCAACAGGTGTAGACTAACACTGAAATGCTTACTTACGGGTCCATTTCCAACAATGCAGAGTTAAAGATATTACATTAAAAAATAAAATAATATAAAAAGTGAATCGAGTAATAAATACACAGTGAATAACAAACACAAATAAAGAGTAAAAATAACATGGCTATATATATGGGGTAGAAAATAACATGGCTATATACAGGGAGTACCAGTACCGAGTCAATGTGCAGGGGTACGAGGCAATTGAGGTAGCTATGTACTGTACATCCAGTGCATTCGGAAAGTATTCAGACCCCTTGACTTTTTCCACATTTTGTTACGTTACAGCCTTATTCTAAAATTGATTAAATTGTTTTTTTTTCTTCATCAATCTACACAAAATACCCACATAATGACAAAGCAAAAACAGGTTTTTATGAATTTTGGCAAATTTACATAAGAATGAAGACTCTTTACTTAGGACTTTGTAATCGCTGCCAAAGGTGCTTCAACAGTCTCGAGTCTTCTTGGGTATGAGGATACAAGCTTGTCACACCTGTATTTGGGGAGTTTCTCCCATTCTTCTATGCAGACACTCTCAAGATCTGTCAGGTTGGATGGGGAGTGTCGTTGCACTGCTATTTTCAGGTCTCTCCCGAGATGTTTGATCGGGTTCAAGTCCGGGCTCTGGCTGGGCTACTCAAGGACATTCAGAGACTTGTCCCGAAGCCACTCCTGCGTTGTCTTGGCTGTGTGCTTAGGGTAGAAGTCCTGTTGGAAGGTGAACTTTTATCCCAGTCTGAGGTCCTGAGTGCTATGGAGCAGGTTTTCATCAAGGATCTCTCTATACTTTGGTCTGTTTATCTTTCCCTTGATCCTGACTAGTCTCCCAGTCCCTGCCACTGAAAAATATCCCCACAGCATGATGCTGCCACAACCATGCTTCACCGTAGGGATGGTGCCAGGTTTCCTCCAGACGTGACGCTTTGCATTCAGGCCAAAGAATTCAATCTTTGTTTCATCAGACCAGAGAATCTTGTTTCTCATGGAGTCCTTTAGTGGCTTCCGTCTGGCCACTCTACCATAAAGGCCTGACTGGTGGAGTGCTGCAGAGATGCTTGTCCTTCTGGAAGGTTCTCCCATCTCCACAGAGGAAGTCTGGAGCTCTTTCAGAGTGACCATCGGGATCTTGGTCACCTCCCTGACCAAGGCCCTTCTCCCATGAGTGTTTAGTTTGGCTGGGCGGCCAGCTCTAGGAAGTGTCTTGTTGGTTCCAAACTTCTTCCATTTAAGAATGATGGAGTCCACTGTGTTCTTGTGGACCTTCAATGCTGCAGAAATGTTTTAGTACCCTTCCCCAGATCTGTGCCTCGACACAATCCTGTCTCGGAGCTCTACGGACAATTCCTTCGACCTCATGGCTTGGTTTTTGCTCTGACATGCGCTGTCAACTGTGGGACCTTATATAGACAGGTGTGTGCCTTTCCAAATCATGTCCAATCAGTTGAATTTACCACAGATGGACTCCAATGAAGTTGTAGAAACATCTCAAGGATGATAAATGGAAACAGGATGCACCTGAGCTCAATTTCAAGTCTCATAGCAAAGGGTCTGAATAAGGTATTTTTTAATTTTTTAAAATACATTTGCAAACATTTCTACAAACCTGTTTTCACTTTGTCATTATGGGGTATTGTGTGCAGATTGATGAGATTTTTTTTTAGTAAATACATTTTAGAATAAGGCTGTAATGTAACAAAGTGGAAAAAGTGAAGGAGTTTGAATACTTTCCGAATGCACTGTATTGGTAGGGGTAAAGTGACTAGGCAACAGAATAGATAATAGACAGTAGCAGCAGCGTATGAGGTGAGTGTGAAAGTCTGTGTGTGTGCGCGTGTGTGTGTGGCGTCAGTATACGTGTGTGCATGTCGTGTGTGTGTGTATGTGTGTGTGGGTAGAGTCCAGTGTGTGTGTGCATAGAGTCAGTGCAAGAGAGCAACAAAGGGTCAATGTAGGTAGTCCGGGTAGCCATTTGATTAGCTGTTTAGCAGTTTTGAAGTCTTATGGCACGGGGGTAGAAACTGGTCAGGATCCTGTTGGTTCCAGACTTTGTGCATTGGTACCACTTGCCAGAGCAAACAGTCTGTGGCTTGGGTGGCTGGAGTCTTTGACAATGTTTGGGGCCTTCCTCTGACACAGCCTGGTGTAGAGGTCCTGGATGGCAGGGAGCCGGTGATGTACTGGGCCATACACACTACCCTCTGTAGCAACTTGCGGTCAGATGCCAAGCAGTTGCCATACCAAGCGGTGATGCAGCCAGTCAAGATGCTCTCAATGGTGCAGCTGTAGATCTTTTTGAGGATCTGAGGGCCAAATCTTTTCAGCCTCTTGGGGGAAAAGGCGATGTCGTGCCCTCTTCACGACTGTGTTTGTGTGTTTGGAGCATGATAGATCCTTAGTGATGTGGACACCGAGGAAATTAAAGCTCTAGACCTGCTCCACTACAGCCCTTTCGATGTGAATGGGGGCGTGCTCGGCCCGCTGTTTCCTGTAGTCACGATCAGCTCCTTTGTCTTACTGACATTGAGGAAGAGGTTGTTGTCCTGGCACCACACTACCAGGTCTCTGACCTCCTCCCGATAGGCTGTCTCATCTTTGTCGGTGATCAGGACTACTAAAGTCCCAGGGACCTTAGTGATGAACTTCAAGGGAACTATGGTGTTGAACACTGAGCTTTAGTCAATGAGCAGCATTCTTACATAGGTGTTCCTTTTGTCCAAGTGGGAAAGGGCAGTGTGATGTGCAATAGAGATTGCATGATTTGTGGATCTGTTGGGGCGCCATGCAAGTGGGTCCAGGGTGTCTGGGATGATGGTGTTGATGTGAGCCATGACCAGCCTTTCAAAGCATTTCATGGCTACAGATGTGAGTGCTACCGGGTGATAGTCATTTAGATAGGTTACCTTGGCGTTCTTGGGCACAGGGATTAAGGTTGTCTGCTTGAAACATGTAGGTATTACAGACTGGGTCAGGGAGAGGTTGAAAATGTCAGTGAAGACACTTACCAACTGGTCAGCACGTGCTCTGAGTATGTGTCCTAGTAATCCGTCTGGCCCCCCGGCCTTGTGAATGTTAACCTGTTTAAAGGTCTTACTCACATCGGCTACGCAGAGCGTGATCAGACAGTCGTCCAGAACAGCTGGTGCGTTCACGCACGGTACCTCGAAGCGAGCATAGAAGGCATTTAGCTCGTCTGGTAGGCTCGTGTCACTGGGCAGGTCATGGAAGGGTTTCGCTCTGTAATCCGCGATAGTTTTCAAGCCCTGCCACATCTGACGAGCGTCAGATCTGGTGTAATAGGATTCGATCTTAGTCCTGTATTGAAGCTTTGCCTGTTTGAGGGTTCGTCGGAGGGAATAGCAGGATTTCTTATAAGCGTCCGGGTTAGTGTCCCGCTCCTTGAAAGGGGCAGGTCTAGTCTTTAGCTCAGTGCGGATGTTGCCAGTAATACATGGCTTCTGGTTGGGATATATACGTACGGTCACTGTGGGGACGACGTCATTTATGCACTTATTAATGAAGCCGGGGACTGACTTGGTAAACTCCTCAATGCCATCGGATGAATCCTGATACATATTCCAGTCTGTGCTAGCAAAATAGTAATGTAGCTTAGCATCCACTTTATCGTACCACTTCCAAATTGAGCGTGTCACTGGTACTTCCTGTTTTGAGTTTTTGCCTGTGAGCAGGAATCAGGAGGATAGAGCTATGGTTACATTTTCAAAATGCAGGGCGAGGGAGAGCTTTGTATGTTTCTCTGTGTGTGGAGTAAAGGTGATCTATACTTTTTTTCCCTCTAGTTGAACATGTAAAAATGAGGTAAAACAGATTTCAGTTTTCCTGCATTAAAATCACTGGCCGCTAAGAGCGCTGCCTCTGGATGAGCATTTTCTTGTTTGCTTATAGCCCTATATAGTTTGTTGAGTGCAGTCTTAGTACCAGCATTGGTATGTGGTGGTAAATAGACAGCAACGAAAAATGTAGATGAAAAGTCTCTTGGTAAATATTATGGTCTAGAGCTTATCATGAAGTATTCTAACTCAGGCGAACAGAACCTCAAGATTTCTTTAATATTAGAGATCGCGCACCAGCTGTTGTTCACAAAGAGACACACTCCCGCCCTTTAGTTGACGAGACGCTGACGTTCTGTCCTGTCGATGCACAGAAAAACCAGCTAGATTTATATTAACCATGTCCTCGTACAGCCACTACCCCGTGAAGCATAGGATATTACGGTCCTTCAGGCCCCGTTGATAGGATATTCTCGAACGGAGCTCGTCTAGTTTGTTCTCCAGTGATTGTACATTTGCCAATAGAACAGAGGGTAGAGGTGTTTTATTTACACGCCGATGTGGTTTAATCAGGGTGCCCCCAATTCGGCCTCTATATCGCTGTCTTTTCCTCAACCGAGTGTCTTGGATTAGGGCCTGATCTCGTGTGAGCATTGAAGTAGAATTCTTCATCCAAATCAGGGTTAGTGTTTGCTGTTCTGATGTCCAGAAGCTCTTTTCGGTCATAGGAAAAGATGGCGGAAACATTGTGTACAAAAACCGTTAAGATCAGCGCAAAAAAACACACAAAATAGCATAATTGGTCAGCAGCCCCAACCTATGCAGTGTGTGTGTGTGTTTGTGTGTGTTTGTGTGGCCACTCTGATCATACCCCTGTCCTGCTCTCTTGCAGATGTGGACATCCTCCAAAGGCTGGGGCTCAAGGGAGAGAAACCGTCACGTTCCATCCGTCCGGGGATCATTCCGTTCCGATCGGGGGTCTTCCTCACCCAGCAGGCGCGTGTGGAGGCCCCTGCCCGCTCAGTCATACCACTGCCCTACTGGCCCGACCTGGCGCTTCTCCTGAGTGTGCGTTCCCACCGTGTCAACAACGCCTTCCTCTTCAACGTGCTCTCCGGCCGCGGCCGGCTCCTGTTGGGCCTGCAGCTGTCCCCAGGGCAGCTGGTCCTCCACACAGGGCCCAAGAACGCCGTCCCATTCCACTACGACCTCCACGATGGCCAGTGGCACCACCTGGCTCTGGACATCCGTGGGCGGAGGGTGACTCTGTACTCTGCCTGCGGAAAGCAGAGCGTTCACGCAGACTTGACTTCGGCAGACAGAGAAGGCCTGGACCCTGAGAGTTCCTTCCTGCTCGGGAAGATGGGCCAGGGCTCGGTGCAGTTCGAGGGTGCCATTTGCCAGTTTGACCTGATCCCCTCCTCCCAGGCAGCTCACAACTACTGCAGGTACATTAAGAAACAGTGCAGGGAGGCTGACACCTACAGGCCAAACATAGCGCACCTCCTGCCCCTCTTAACCCGAGACCCCAACATCACGGCCAGCCTGGCTCCGCTTACCCCCCCAGCTCCCTCCGAGCTGAGCAGGAAGCCCATGGGCATGAACCTGGCAAGGAGCGCCACTGCAGCTGCCTCCGCTGTTAGGTATGTGCTGCCGGCCATCCTGCTAAAGCCCACCCATAGGACCACTCCCCTGCCCGGTACTGTGATGCTGCTCACGACACGGCCTGGGCTAGCCTTCCCGACCAAGGATCAGACAGAGACCGTTACAGCACCACTCAGGAATGGAGTCGCCCCTCCCTCCTCCCCCAAAACCTCCACCATCACTCAGAAATCCCCCAAGCCCACCCATTTCAAGCCCACCAATGTCAAGCCCACCCCTGTTAAGCCTGACAATTTCAAGCCCACCCCTGTCAAGCCCACCCCTGACAAGCCCATCTATGCCAAGCCCATCCTTGCCAAGCCCACCCCTCGCAGCGGCAGCAGCCCCAAGAAGACCACAGAGGGGCTTGAGGCAAAGAAGAAACCCTCTGTCACTGCAGCCGCTAAGCCTACCAAGAAGAAGCCAGACTCTGCCCTTCTAGCCCATGGGGCAGTCAGCCCCGGGCCAAAGAAACCACCACAGAAACCGCAGCCTACAGCAGCCAAAAAGACAACAGCCCAGCATAAAGTCACAGCCACTCGCCAATTCAAAGCCACCAATGCACCTGCCAATCCAAAGATATCCAAAGCCACCAATGCACTTGTCACCCAACGGCCCACCAAACCCACCTATGCCCCCTTTACCCTCCCCACCACGGGCTGGTTGCAGACGTACGATGTGGAACCGACCCATTTTTCTCTACTATTGCCAGGACCCCAAGGGCTAAAGGGTGAACCAGGCCTTGTGGTAAGAGCCTCTTAATACTCTCTTCTACCGACTGTGTCAAGTCTTAATGTTATGCATACTGTCAACGTATTTGTGTGTTGGTTGGGTTGGGGTGGGTGTCAGGGGGTGGAATGTGTATGGATGGGATCAAATTCTACTCAAGAGTTCTGTGTGTATGCGGGGGGGGGGGGGGGGTGCATAAGAGATTGTAATTAGTGCAAGAAAGCAGTGTACATATGTGTGTGCGTGAGTGTTTATGTGCGAGGTGGAGGTGTGTGGCAGGTTGAGTTATTTAACTCTCTGGAGTGGTGAAAGTGGAGCATATGTGAGCCCCCTCTCCCTCATCCTACTACCCCTCTCCCAGACTCTATTCCAGTCTGATTACAGACCTCTACCCCTCCAACCAGCCTCACTGGGAACAATCATCGAGGCTCAGTGACGGTTCCGCTGAGGGAATAGGGGGGGGGGACAGCCTCATCAAAGCTCTGCCAGCCCAAGTAGAGAGAGTTCCCCCCTTTTCAATGGAGAGGGGGAGGAGGACATGAGGGCTGGGTCTGTGATCAGAGAACCCTTCAGTGTATATATGACCAGATTACTACATTGGAAAGTAGAGGTGGGGGGAGAAAGGAGGATGACTGAAGAGAAAAGAGAGAGAGCGAGAGAGAGAGAGAGAGAGAGAGAGAGAGAGAGAGAGAGAGAGAGAGAGAGAGAGAGAGAGAGAGAACATTGTGGACAGGGTTCACAAAGTTGCTTTGTTCAAATTTCTCTCCTTTTTCTCAGAGCATTTGTCTTTACTGTCCTCTTCTGCTTTTCAAAACACAAGAACATCAAATGTATATCTATTGGTACATACAGAGTACAAAGCATGTCAGTGTCCTTGTTTGAAGTGAAATGCAAAAGGGTTCGAGGCAATCTTTTACTGTAGCTAGCGATTACATTTTAATAATACATGTCTCTTGTCCAACCTATGCAAATCATTGACGAGGAAATACATTTTTAATACTTTCGAATGTAGATTGCCAGATTTGACGACTTGCCCCTCACATCTCACACAAGAGAACTCACAGCTTGCCCTTACATGCTGCAGAAAGGCTGGCTGTGACTCTTTGTTTTTTGTATCGCTGCAAGTTATAAGCTAGGAATCTCGACAGTTTGTGCCTTCGTCACGGAAGTGTGCCAAGCTATCTGGCATGTCCTGAAGGAGGATTTTGTTGATCGGCAGAGAGTTTTGTCTTCGTGGGAGAGAATTTATTCCCTCTTAGGGTAAACCTGATGCGACCATATCCAGGTAAGACACACTAAATGCATGTGATTATTATACCAATATAGAAGTAATTATATGTCTCACATAAAAGTGATCTGGCATCCCAATAAGAGGTTGGGGGCCTATGTCCAAAGCATAGGCTACACAGTTGTTACAGTACACATTTGATAGCCTTCATGTTCCTGTTCAATACTAATGGAAATGCTTATTTTATTCAAGGGTTCTTCAGGCCTTGATGATGCCAAGAAGATCTACAACTACCGCCACTCAAGAGCCAGAATAATTTTAGAGAACTGCTTTGGATTCCTTGCTGCAAGATGGAGGATCCTGGGACGAGCCCTTGAGGTTGCCCTAGAGAAAGCTGAGACCATTGTGAAGGCCTGCGTGGACCTCCACAACAACCTTTGCATCACAGACACTGACAACACAGAGTCATCAACACGGTACACCCACCCCACGTTTGTTGACCACTCCACACCCATTGGGGACCTGCGTTCAGGAGAGTGAAGGCAGGTGGTACAAGAGGACACCAGCTTCCTGGACCCAAGGAACATGTTGGCAGACAGGGCAACCAGAGTTGCTATATTTTTTTATACAAATTTTTTATTTCACCTTTATTTAACCAGGTAAGCCAGTTGAGAACAAGTTCTCATTTACAACTGCGACCTGGCCAGCAATTTAGACGTGCCCAACAACTTCAAGGAATACTTCCTCACACCAGCTGGTAGAGTGTCTTTCCAGGATGCTGCCATCACCCTACAGTAAATGTTGGAGTGTGGTTTGGAAAACACATACGTTCTCTTCCTCTGTAGTTTCGCCGTCCTGGAGCCTGATCTTCCTGCACCTTCGTCGGTGGGGGTGTCTGCGGCCGCAGTGCCTACTACTACAATTTCGAAGTCGACGTCGGCAATCTTCAGTCCCTGCTCTAGATCGAGTGGGGCTTCTCCATCTGTCACAGGCCTGCATCATGTGAAGTGTGGGAGTGGGCGGATTTACTCGTCCTTCTCGCCAGCTGTGATTTTGAGCAGCTCCATGGTAAGTAATGTGACCGTTCCTGGTGCAAAAACGATGTCCTATCCCGGAGCTCGAGTAAATTACATTACTAAGCTGCTCCCGAATGTACTACGTCAGGACATGGAAATTAATTCTATAGCGGTCCATGTGGGTTTTAATGACATTATGAAGGGCAGCTCTGAACAGTTGAAACTGGATTTTAAAGAGCTGATTGACTCTCTGCCAGACACTAACAAAAAACCCATCATATCTGGCCCTGTGCCCTCTCTGAATCGTGGCATTGAACGCTTTAGCAGGATTCTTGCTCTTCACAACTGGCTACGTGATTATTGCAGCTCAATGGGTGTAACTTCTGTTGACGTTATCAATCATAGTCTGCTGCTGGAAAAACGTATGTGTTATGGCTTTACACCCCCTGCTATAATGTGGATAAAGAGTTACTTGTCTAACAGAACACGGAGGGTGTTCTTTAATAGAAGCCTCTCAAACTTAATCCAGGTAGAATCAGTAATTCCCCAGGGCAGCTGTCTAGGCCCCTTGCTTTATTCCATCTTTACTAACGACATGCCACTGGCTTTGAGTAAAGCCAGTGTGTCTATGTATGCAGATGACTCAACACTATATACGTCAGCTACTACGGCAACTGAAATAACTGCAACACTTAACAAAGAGTTGCAGTTAGTTTCGGGAATTTATTTATTCCATTTTAGAATAAGCTGTAACGTAACAAAATGTGGAAAAAGTCAAGGGTTCTGAAAACTTTCCGAAGGCACTAAATGGGTGTCTGTCCGACGATGTTTTACATAAATACGAAGCCAACCCATTTGTCGGACAATCGGTGGGACACACAGAGCAACCCTCGTCTCTTTCACATTTTTCAAATTGCGAACATACCGGTTCTGAATCTTTCTCCATTTTTCTTTCATATCGCTATTGGTGCTGACATTTTGTGATATCCCTCCAGCTGTTATCTTTTGTGTTCTTGTCCAAATACAACTGCATCAAAGGATTGTAGAGGTTATCATATCGTCTCACCTCCTCGCACAGACGCTCCTCAAAACTGGACAGAGATATAATTGTGTGTAGCAGATGTCGAAATAAAAGCACAAAAAAAGTTGCTTGCAAGTAGAATAGCAAGTAGAATAGCAGTAGCAGCAAAGTAGCAGCAGGTCCACTGCTTCCGTGTTTATACCAGAAGGGATACCAGAAGGGATTTGATGTAGACACAGTCTTCTGCCCCTCATGTCTTTGCAAAATAATGTGCCACTTCCTCATTCTCCACATGCAGGTTAGAAATCCCTAACCCCCAAAAATCTCCTCTAACCCCCCTGCGCCCCCAAGCCTGGGGCCAGCGTGCTAGCGCTGACGCCTTTCCATCTCTGCACCAGAATCCTCTGTTACATAGGGCGATTTAGGGACGTGCCGCTGTACTTACCAAAGGTCAGGTCAAGCATTAAACACTTCACCATTCAGTTTCCCACTGCAGGCAGGCAGGCTAGTCAAAGGCTTTTCCACAACTAGCGACAGCACCAGGATCCATTTCAGTGTTTCCATGGATGACACATGGATGACACACCTCTAGAATTCCACTGGAATGGCTCAGATAGCTGAGGAGGGAATCTCCAGTGACAATACCAGGGGAAACACCAGGTCCTACTTATAGATCCTCTAACTGAGGAAATACTTAATACATTTGAGAAGGTAAATTAGCTATTTTTACATTCAGAAAATAAATACGCTAGATGAATCAATCCCCTCTCTTCAGTTATTTTTATTTTTTCTCTCTTTGCCCCTGTATTGTTGCTGTGTGGGCTCTTTCAGACATTGTTTTGATGTGACTGTGGGTGTGCTACGTGTCACACTGTACTCCAGCCATTGAAGTGGCTCTGTAATTTGAGGGGCCACATTTGCAGAGTGCTCTCTGCAGGGCTGGTTAATTGACATGTGTGCTGATGGCTAGACCTGAGCTCTCTGTCATTACACGTTGACAGAGTCAAAAGCTTCAAGTTCCTTGGCATACACATCACTGAGGACGCAACAGTGCCCCTTCAACCTCAGGAAGCTGAAGAAATGTGTCTTGAACCCTAAAACCCTCACAAACTTCTACAGATGCACTATCGAGAGCATTCTGTCGGGCTGTATCACCGCCTGGTTACGGCAACTGCACCGCCTGCAACTGCAGGGCTCTCCTGCCATCCAGGACATCTACAGCACCCGATGTAACAGGAAGGCCAAGAAAGTCATCAAAGACCTCAGCAACCCAAGCCATGGCCTGTTCATCCCACTACCATCTAGAAGGTGGAGACAGTACAGGTGCATCAAAGCTGGGACCGAGAGACTGAAAAACAGCTTCTATCTCCAGGCCATCAGACTGTTAAACAGTCATCACTAGCCTTAGACACTGTCACTAGCTGGCTACCATCCGATACTTTACCCTGCACCTTAGAGGCTGCTGCCCTATGTACATAGTCATTGAACACTGGTTACTTTAATAATGTTTACATATTGTTTTATCTGAAGGCGAAATAAATGCACACCTGTTTAGGCGAGGTGCTGGCTAGTGGAGTAGAACACTTGAAAATAATGGAGTAATGGAGAGCTGCACACTCTAGGAGCTCAGATGCAATAATTTTATAACCAACGTTTCGACAGCAAAGCTGTCTTCATCAGGTACATACTGTCTTACCCACTTTATATGTATACTGAACAAAAATATGAACGCAACATGTAACATTTTGGTCCCATGTTTCATGAGCTGAAATAAAATATCCCAAAAATGATCCATATGCACAAAAAGCTTATTTCTCTAAAATGTTGTGCACAAATTTGTTTACATCCCTGTTAGTGAGCATTTGGCCTTTGCCAAGATAATCCATCCAGCAGACAGGTGTGGCATATCAAGAAGCTCATTAAACAGCATGATCATTACACAGGTGCACCTTGCGCTGGGGACAATAAAAGGTCACTTTAAAATGTGCAGTTTTGTCACACAACACAATGCCACAGATGTCTCAGCTTTTGAGGAAGCATGCAATTGGTATGCTGCCTGCAGAAATGTCCACCAGAGCTGTTGCCAGAGAATCTAATGTTAATTTCTCTACCATAAGCCTCCCCCAACGTCATTTTAGAAAATTTGCCAGAACGTCCAACCGGCCTCA